GATGCTAAGGATTATTGTGCTGCACTTTTCTTAGACCTGTCTAAAGCTTTTGACACTGTGGATCATAACATCTTGTGTCATAAACTCTCAGAAATTGGTTTCTCAGATCACACCATTGTTTGGTTCTCTAACTATCTTTCAGACCGGAGGCAATGTGTTCAACATCCTTTAACATTCAACAATGGTGTACCACAAGGCTCAGTCTTAGGACCCACCCTCTTTACAATCTACATACATAATGTAGGCAAAAACATCCCTAATGCATCCATACATTTCTATGCTGACGACACAGTTGTTTATTGTCGAGCTAAAACAGTTGCTAAGGCTTTCCAGCTTTTGAAATCTGCATTTAACATCATCCAGACTGATTTGTTCCGCCTCAAACTTGTCCTAAATGCCGAAAAAACCAAAGGGATGCTCTTTTCAAATAGGAAGTTGGTCCCAGCAGTTCTTCCTCCGATTTTATCCTCAAATGGTGTCCCCATTGAGTTTGTTGATTCTTATAAATATTTGGGTATCTTGGTCGACTCACATCTTTCTTTTAAGCTCCATGTGGAAAACTTGGTAAAGAAACTGAAAGTTAAACTGGGTTTCTTTTTCAGAAACAGATCCTGTCTAACCCTGAATGCTAGAAAACACCTTGTATCTGTGACTTTCCTTCCCTCAATTGATTTTTGTGATATTATTTACATGAACGCTCCTACAAGAACCCTGCAGATGTTGGATGCTGTCTATCATGGTGCACTAAGATTCATAACTGGCTGTGATTATCGTACCCACCACTGCACCCTGTATTCATTGGTTAACTGGACATCATTAACTTCACGCAGACTCTCTCACTGGTACATTTTCATCTTTAAATCACTTCTTGGTCTGCTGCCTTCATACATCTCCTCCTACATGTCTCTGCGTGAGTGCAGCTACGGAGTGCGCTCTCAGGACATTATTACCTGCAGTGTTCCCTCAGTGAGGACTGAACTAGGCAAAAGGGCCTTCTCCTACTCCGCTCTTGTTTCCTGGAATATCTTACAAAAAGATTTGAAGCTCTCGACCTTGACCTCTCTAAGTGTCTTTAAGAATCTGTTGGACTCCTGGCAGGGTCCAATGCAGACATGTTCCTGTTTTTAGTTTTCTACATTTGTCTTGGAATCTAGCTGTTTTTTGTTTTGTTACCTTTTTCCTTTTAGCCATCCTATTTGTTAAAAAAAAAAAAAAAAAAAAAAAACTGTAGTATGAGTTTTTATAACTGCTTATTGTTGTTGCTGTTGTCCATTGTTGTCATCTTTCTTTGTTGAAATCAGGTCTCTCTTGTAAATGAGTCCTCGAGGCTCAATGGGATTTACCTGTATAAATAAAGGTTGATTGATCCTCATTTCCTACTGAAGCATTTACATTTACTTTTAAAACTTTACATGTTCTCTAGAATGTTTACATTTTTATTGAGCCTCACAATTCTATTGGAACTTAACATTTTCTTTATCAAAACTTGTATCTATTTAAAAAAATACATTTACTATTGAAACCATTTTGTTTCTATTGTAACTTTACATTTTATATCGAAACTATACATTTTGAAATCGAACTTGTTTACATTTATCAAAACTTTACATTTTCTGTTGAATCTTTACATTTTCTCACACTGTATTGTTTACATTTTTATAGAACTTCTTATATTAAAATTTCATCCATCATCTTTTACCCACTTCTTCCATTTTGGTCGGGGGTCGCCGGTATTAAAATTTCACACTTCCAATAAAAAGATTTTGTTTTCTATTAAAACATTTACATTTACTATTAAAACTTTACATTTTCTTTAGAATGTTTACATTTTTATTGAGCCTCTTACAATTCTGTTAGTGAACTCATTTACTTTTTTATTGAACCTGCCTACATTTTTTTAATAAGTTGATCCCATTACTATTTATAATTTATTCTATTAAAACCTGTTTACAATGTTTAAACTACATTTTTCCCTTGAATTATTTATATTTTTTACCGAAACTTTATTGAGCTTTACATTCATTTTAATGAAAAACTAGTTTTTGAGGGTGTTTGTTAGCCATTCGTATGGAGGGAATGAGTAAAATAAAGACTTGATGACGTGGTTTGAAGACGTTATTTATGTCAATAAACTTCTGGTATCTTGTTTGTGGTCAACAGAACAGATCGATGTATTAACCCAAAACATTTATAGACCACAGATGCAGAGTAATGTTTCCAGCAGCCTTCTTTCAGAAATAATGCACATTTAATTGAACTGAGGAGAAAATATTCTCAATAATGTCTAAATAATATATTCATCTGGTCTTTATCTTTTTTGTTTGTTTGTTTTACAATAAACACAAATGTTCACAAAACAGTCACAACTCACCTACACTGTAGTTGTCCGTTTGAAATGAACTGAAATCAAGACAGGGATTAAAAACTTTAACACTTTTATTCAAGCTGTACACGGCTTATCTCATTTAAAAAATACAAGTAAAAAAAGACAAAAAAAAAAAAAAAAAAGGAGTACCCCCATAAATACAATGTCATTTAAAAACAGAGCGTTTGCTGGTTTGCATATGGTCTAGGTAACAAATAAAAAAACAAGAAGTCCGTCTGGTATTTTTGATGCGGGCAGACCTCAGCTGCCTCCAGACACAAACAGGATTACTTTGTTTGGTAGAAACTGGATGTAAAGAAGTTTACATTTGCTTTCTGAGCTTGAGGTATGCAGTACATCCATGGAGGGGGGTGGAGAGAGAAAAGACACGGTTTTATATACAAACCGCTTTTAAATATACAGAACAAAGATGGGTATAAAGTATGCACATTTTTTTAGTATTAAGGCCAGAGTTGGATTTGATTCACCACAATGCCAACTCTGTGGAAGGTCATAAAGCTGCGAGCTGTTCCTCGCTGCTGCAGAGTACCTCCATTCATTACTTATAAGTGAAGCATGCAGGGAAATGTGCTAGATGACAAAAAACAGAAGGTCCTGGGCAGTCAGATGCAGCTGACTCAGCCTTGGCACAAAAATCCAAATTTTATTGTTTAGTCTAAAGAGGTGAAAATCGCCTGTTTTCCAACAGCCGAGCGAACCGCAAGCAATAATGATGGAGCTGTGATACATGATATAATAGACGTTCTACGTGTAGTTTCCTCACTTTAAATAAAAAGGGTTGAGTCTCAGGGCTATAACTTGAGTTTCCCCTCTTGTATTAAAAGGCTAAACGTTAGATTAAAAAAAATTATTTACTTTTCCCCTCACTATCTGGTTAAACTTATTCAATGTCCCGTTTCTGATATGAACAAAGCCAACTTTATACACGATACTGAGGTGATTCTGCCCCGATTCAAAAACAATAATAGTAAAAAAAAATACTCCCAACGTGACCTCGGACCTTCTCGACTATTCTCCAACACATAACATCAAACGTAAAAATAAAAAAGTAGACGCAGCAGAGAAAATTCATGCAGTTTCTCTGCTGGATACTAAAATATCAAAGTTCAGTCTGCTTGTAAAGACACGTAACACTTCATGTGATTTTTTTTTTAAGTAAGGCAAATCGGGTCACACCGAGCAGAATACAGGTGTAAACTTGTACAGTCAACTTAATCCAGGATGAAATAACATCAGAGCTTTTGTACTCCCACGGATTAAATCTGGATCACTAAAATGGTGCTTTGGGTGTCTTAAAAGCTTAAAAAAAAAAAAGGTCTTTTTCATGGCGAGACCACACACAGAGACCGACGAGCACGTGTGTGTGTGTGTGTGTGGTCTTCATAGAACGCAAGATCCAGGTCAACCTGTAGTGTAACAGTTTACATATATATCTTTTAGAATAACTGTGCAAACCAGTAAAAAAAAAAAAAAAAAAAAACTTCATTCATCTTCGGAGTGAACATTCAGAACAGGAGTAAAAGATTCATCAGTCTGGAACATTAAAAACGAATAAAAACGTAAATGCATATCGCCCGTCAAAGTCGTAAAATACGAGGACAGAGTTGTGGCCGTTTTGGTCAAAATCACATAAAACGACGTTCGGCACCATGTCGTGCGACACCGCAGGATTTGTTAGCGGTAGGACTGTGTCGAGGATGACCGTCAGCGACGCGTCCCCAGTTTCTGTAAGATCGCTGAAGCCATTTTTGACCCACGCTGGCCAACTGAGCCAGTTGACATTGGATTTGCTTAAACACGAGTCCATAAAGACGCCACGAAGCCATCCCGGTCAATTTAAACCATTTTCCTTTGAAAATGACCATTTGTCTCTGAAGCACCAGGAAATCCCTTCATATAATGGTTGGCGTCATCCGTGATGCTTTAAATATAGGGCTTGAAATCCTGACAAAATCTCCCCAGACCATTAAAAACTGAGTATTTAAACCGGAAATCTGGTTAACAAAATTAGCTCGTCAGGCCAGGTGATAAAATAACTAAATTCAACAAGAAACTCGTGAGATGGAAGATTTAAATCGAACTACCGGCATTTATTTTTTTTTTTAAAGTGACTCATTATGCCAGCATGGGTCCCAGTTTTGCAATTTCTAATCGGTGGTGGCCATCTTAAACAGGGTTTACATCAAATGATCACTTTTGGAAAGCTTCAGTGAACTCCATCCTCTGATATGATATTTTGCTAACAAACAGCCAGACAGGCAAAAACATTATCACCTTCGGCGGCAGATGATAAAAGACTAGACACACAAAGACACTCGCGGGCTATCTCCCGTTAAAACAGAGGAGATTGTGCTCTGCACACTAAAAAGTTTTAAAGCTTCCCAGTCTCCAACTAAAAGCAGAGTAATTTATGTTGAGTCTAGGCATCATTTAAAGTTTGTTGCAGGGGATAAACCTTTGACCTTTTTCTCTGCAGTTAAGACAAACTGCTTTGACATCTTAATTAGTCCACTAAGAAACTCAGGGGTGGACAGGGAACACACACAAAAAAAAAAAAAAAAAAAATCGCAACCAGGTGTGTTGAAATGAAATGAAAGCTATCCGACCTCATTTTCATTGAGTTCAATAAAACAGTGGCTACGGCTGCAGCTAGCAGAAAAACATGCAATAATATTGATATCAAGTTGATAAACCCACATTTCCCCTCACTTTCACTTCTGTCATCACAATCATCTGAGCCAGGTGTGGGCTTCGAGACCAGCGAGAGACCGTCGGATCACATACATTGTTAGTGCGGAAAATAAATTCATTGTTCTTGAAATATCTTGGCCTATGATTTATTAGCGTTCAAGCAGTCCTTTGTGATGTTGCGCCCAGTGACACTGCAACAATAACATTTTGATATATTGTGCAGCCCAATCAGTGGCCTTCGTTTTAATCCAAAAAAAAAAAACCTTCACACCGTTGTCTCCCCGTGGTTCCCGTTGCTAAGACGCTTGTAGAACCGCCGCCAGGACTGAAGGGTCTTCCCAGACCAAACCCAGAAGCCAGAGGTGATCCCGACTATCATGGTCATCAGGTATTTGATCATGAACACAGTGAAGTCCGGGGTCATGGGTGCAAAGTTGTGGACCGGACAGGGCATGGCGAAGCGCTTGCAGGTCTGCATGTGCCAGGTCCGCTCCCAGTGCTCCCTGAAGGCTTGCTCGTAGAAGTAGCAGGCGATCACTATGGTGGCCGGAACCGTGTAGAGCACGCTGAACACGCCGATCCGAACCATCAGCTTCTCAAGCTTCTCCGTTTTGGTGCCATCGTGCTTCATGATGGTGCGAATCCGGAACAGGGACACAAAGCCGGCTAGGAGGAAGGACGTGCCAATGAACAGGTAGACAAACAACGGGGCCAGGACGAAGCCGCGGAGCGCGTCTACGTTGAAGATTCCCACAAAGCACACCCCCGTCAGCACGTCTCCGTCCACCTGGCCCATGGCAAGGATGGTGATGGTCTTGATGGCTGGGACGGCCCACGCAGCCAGGTGGAAGTACTGGGAGTTGGCTTCTATGGCCTCGTGGCCCCATTTCATCCCAGCAGAGAGGAACCACGTCAGGGACAAGATCACCCACCAGATGGAGCTGGCCATGCCAAAAAAGTACAACACCATGAAGAGAATGGTGCAGCCCTCCTTTTTGGTCCCCTGAGCCACGGTCCTGTACCCGTCCACTTTGAATCTATCCACACAGACCACTTTGTCCTCCAGGAAGAACCCGGCTGCGTAGGCTAAAGCCACCATGAAGTAGCACCCGGATAGGAAGATGATGGGCCGCTCGGGGTACCGGAACCGCCTCATGTCCACCAAATATGTGAGAACAGTGAACAAGGTGCTCACACAGCACAGGATGGACCAGATGCCCACCCACAGGCGGCCGAACTTCACCTCATCCTCACGGAAATACATGATCCCACTTGGCTTTGTGGGCTCACAGGGGGCCCCGCAGTCTTTGACCCCCATAAATCTGTAGCCCAGGTAGGGCGGCACCTCCAACTTCAGGGGGCAGGAGAACTGGTGCGGCTGGTTGTGTTGGGGCGGACGATGAGGGGGTCGATCACCCATGGGTGGGAGGGTCACCGGCTTCTGCGGGTTGGGGGATGCAGAGGCAGGGCTGTTGGGCTCGGACGTGTTCTGACCCACGCAGATCTCACCGGCTCCGTGGACTGGGAAAGCCTCGCAGCGAAGCCGCTCGGGCCACTGGAAGCCGAACTTGTTCATCAGGGCTTCGCACCCCTGCCGCGCGCGCTCACACAGCGACCGACACGGGGGGATGGCCTGCTCCAGAACCGTGCACACCGGGGCGTACATGGAGCACAGGAAGAACTTCAGGTCCGCGGAGCACTGGACCTTCACCAGCGGGTAGAACTGGTGCACCTCCAGCCCGGCGTCCTCCTGGTTCGTGTGGCCCAGGAGGTTCGGCATGATGGTCTGGTTGTAGGCGATGTCGGTGCAGAGGGGGATGGAGATGGGCTGGCAGAAGCCGTGCTCCGGAACAGAGATCCCGCTTTCGCTGTTGTAATGTTGAGCAGAAGCGGGCGGGAGAACCAGCCCGCACAGCAGCCACACGACCCGCAGCAACACCGAGCCGCTGGAGAACCTGGCCGCCGCCATAGTTGAAAAGGAGGGGGAGGGAGAGGAAAAACTTTGATCCAAGTGACTTGAAAACGGCTCAAAACAGCAGAAACCTGCGATTATTGTCCCAATACTTCACTCGCACTCCAAGTAATCCGAGTTGGGATGTTTCGCGCCGACTTTTCTCATGTATTTTACAAAGATAAATCCAAGAAAAACGTCCGTCGTGTCATGACTTCTTAATGTTCTTTGTAAGTGACTCCAAGCAGTCCACTCTCACTCCCAGTCCGCGGAAAGAAAAGAAAACTGCACTCCAACTCCAGTTTTCTACAATTTAACGACAACTTGAACGACTCCGGTACCTTCACAACGTAAAAGTCGCGAAAGACTGCACAAACGGGCATATATTCCCAGCGGTTTTCAGGCTAAACTTCACGCCGAGCGTTAGTTCACATGCTGGGCGTTTGGAAGTCCCGAGGCTCGCGCTCGCTCTCCTCGCTCTGCTCCAGCATTCCGCCGGTTTCTAGGCGCCCATTCCATTCACAGCGCCCCTCCTTCTCCTACCGGACGGAGCGCGGGGAGCCTTGAAACCGACGCCTGCTCTCAGCCAATCAGAACGTTTGTTTTCCTACAGGACTCGTTCCTGATTGGCCCTTTGGTTCCCCACCGCAGGAAGGTATTTTACAGTAATTACATTACACTAGAGATTTCACCAAAGCAATCGATTTTTCTGATGAGACGTTTATTCGTTTTTATTAGCCACTTACGTGTGTGTTTTAAATAATAGTAGCTATGTTAGTTCACTTTTCATGCATTTGTTTAAAGAAAGAAAAAGAAAACAGCCTAAAAGAATAAAAGTAGTGACCGAAACTTTATGACAAGAACAACCTTATTTCTATTTATTCAAATAATAATAATAATAATTGGTAAGGAATAATTTAGAAAATTTTTAGACACATTGTTACATCCGTCTGAGATTGTGAATTTTTCATGCCTGCTACTTTTATTTATGTCTTTCATTGTTTTGTCTCCTAAAAATATTTCATGAGTCATACAGCTTTTGATGCTTGTTGGCCTGTCAGATTTACTGTATTTGTTTTTGGTCCTTCTTTTAGTTGCAATGGAGAAAATTTGTGTCTCTGGACAGTGCCTGAGATAATGTAATTTAAATTTGTGAGTTTGTTATTTTTTTTTACTTAATGTGTTAAAGTATTGTTTGGCTCTTGAGTTTGGGGTGCTTTTTAAAAGTTTGAAGGATTTATAGATATACAGGTAACTTAATATAAAAAAATAATTGGACCAGAAACGAGAAGAAAAAAAAAGCTCCAAATGTCTAAAACAAAAACCTGAAAAACTCAGAAAACCTGAAGAACTATTGCTCGGGACAAATAAATTAAAAAACAAAAATAAAAAAAAGCAAGTCTGACTTCTTAGTCAGAAAATTGTGTGGAGTTTACATGTTCTTCTTGTTTCCTCCCGCAGGTCAAAAACATGCATATTAGGCTGCCTTCAAAAGAGATCTGTGATCTCAATGATTTGCCTGGTTAAATAAAGGTTAATAAATAATATCTGATTATTAGCAGTTTTCTGTTTCTGAGCCATAGCCGAATCTAGACAACTGAGTTGTTAAACAGAGCCTCTTACTGATATGAGAGCTAGTAAACACCACATAAACTGTGTTTTTTTAATGGATTGTTACATTTTCTGAGAAGATTCTGTGTGAATGTACTGAATGGCTTTTTGGAAATTAGTTGAAAAAGCTAAAGTTGAATAAAGGGAATTAGGCAAATCTGTGGCAAAAACAAGCAAAACAAATCCTAAAACTACTATAAAATTGAAATAATAATAATATCTAATATTCTAAAAATGGTAAAACAGTAGCTAAAAGTAGTAAAACAGATGGATACAGTAAAATGAGGAAAAATATACAAACTGGATTCCAAAAAAGTTGGGACACTAAACAAATTGTAAATAAAAATTGAATGCAATGATGTGGAGATGGCAAATGTCAATCTTTTATTTGTAATATAACATAGATGACAGATCAAAAGTTTAATCTGAGTAAATGTAACATTTTAAAGGAAAAATATGTTGATTCAAAATTTCACAGTGTCAACAAATCCCAAAAAAGTTGGGACAAGTAGCAATGAGTGGCTGGAAAAAGGAAATTGAGCGTATAACGAACAGCTGGAAGACCAATTAACACTAATTAGGTCAATTGACAACATGATTGGGTATAAAAAGAGCTTCTCAGAGTGTCAGTGTCTCTCAGAAGCCAAGATGGTAAGAGGATCACCAATTTCACCATTGTTGCGCAGAAAGATAGTGCAGCAAAACCAGAATGGTATTACCCAGCGTAAAATAGCAAAAACTTTTAAGTTATCATCATCAACCGTGCATAACATCATCAAAAGATTCGGAGAATCTGGAACAATCGCTGTGCGTAAGGGTCAAGGCCGTAAAACTCTACTGGATGCTCGTGATCTCCGGGCCCTTAAATGTCACTGCACTTAAAATAGGAATGCCACTGCCAAGGAAATAACAGAATGGGCTCAGGAATACTTCCAGAAAGCATTGTCAGTGAACATAATCCACCATGCCATCCGCTGTTGCCAGCTGAAACTCTACAGTGCAAAGAGGAAGCCATTTCTAAGCAAGCTCCACAAGCTCAGACGTTTGCACTGGGTCAGGGGTCATTTAAAATGGAGCGTGGCAAAATGGAAGACTGTTCTGTGGTCAGATGAGTCACGATTTGAAGTTCTTTATGGAACACTGGGAAGCCATGTCATCCGGACCAGAGAGGACAAGGATAGCCCAAGTTGTTATCAATGCTCCGTTCAGAAGCCTGCATCACTGATGGTATGGGGTTGCATGAGCGCTTGTGGCATGGGCAGCTTTCATGTCTGGAAAGGCACCATTAATGCAGAGAACTATGTTCAGGTTCTAGAACAACATATGCTCCCATCTAGACATCATCTCTTTCAGGGAAGACCCTGCATTTTTCAACACGATAATGCCAGACCACATTCTGCAGCAATCACAACATCATGGCTGCGTAGGAGAAGGATCCAGGTACTGAAATGGCCAGCCTGCAGTCCAGATCTTTCACCTATAGAGAACATTTGGCGCATCATAAAGAGGAAGGTGCGACAAAGAAGGCCCAAGACGATTGAACAGTTAGAGGCCTGTATTAGACATGAATGGGAGAGCATTCCTATTTCTAAACTTGAGAAACTGGTCTCCTCTGTCCCCAGACGTCTGTTGAGTGTTGTAAGAAGAAGGGGGGATGCCACACAGTGGTAAACATGGACTTGTCCCAACTTTTTTGGGATTTGTTGACGCCATGAAATTTGGAAACAACAGATTTTTCCCTTAAAATGATACATTCTCTCAGTTTAAACTTTTTATCTGTGATTTGTGTTCTATTCTGAATAAAATATTAGATGTTGGCACCTCCACATCATTGCATTCAGTTTTTATTCACAATTTGTTTAGTGTCCCAACTTTTTTGGAATCCGGTTTGTAGTTAAAAGCTAAAATTTGCTAAATGGGAGTTAAAGATGGCAAAATAGTTGCTAAAGTTAGCATACTTGTAACTAAAAGTGAAAATATCCTGAATGGTAGCCAAAAATAGCAAAAAGAGTAGCTAAAAGTGGCAAAATAGATGTTAAAGCCAAGAATGAGCAAAATAAAGTAGCAAAGCTGTAACTTAACGTAAAATAAAACATATGGATAGGGTAAAATGAGCAAAACATAGCTAAAATTAGAAATACTTTAGCTAACAGCTAAAAGAAGCAGAATGGTAGTTAAAGTTAGCAAAACAGTGGCTTACCCCTGGTTTCTGGGTCCAGTTTCCAAAAGTAGCAGAATAGTAGCTAAAAGATTAAAGTAGCAAAACAGTAACTAAATGCTAAAAGTAGTGTAAGAAGAAAAAACATGGCAGCAGTGTTGAAGCAGATTTCCAAGAAAACGTTTTAGACGGATTTGAAGAGGTCAATCCACTTAAAAAAAAAAAAGTAAAAAAAAAAAAAAAACAACAATATTCATCATTCCTGACTGAGCTGAATATTTTGATTTATGAATCAATAAAAAATAGCATGTATGTGGAAGTAGTTTGATTAAAATAATAGAAAGTAAAATCAGGAAAACCGTGTGAATGTTGACTGAGCGCTGTAGGTTTAGGCACGGCCACGTATTTTATGTGGTTTAGTGTTAAAATGTTTCACTGAGATTGAAATAAAACTGCTTTTTCACTGTTTCATCGGTGTGGGAAATGTGGAGAAGAGGGAGCAACAACAGCCGAAGCAGCTGTAATTTAGAGTGGCAGCGTGATCAATCAGAACCAAAGGCGTTTCGGTGTGGGAGGGGAGGGTGGCATGGCTGCTTTGTGGCGCTTGCTGCATTTGGTGTGTTTTCTGCCCTGAGTTGGGGATAAAAAAGATGGTGGGGGTGGGCTGCGATGGGGGAAGGGACAGGAAGAAGAGAAAAGGTCAAAGAGGGCAGGGGGAGAAGGGGAAAAGGAGGAGGAGAGGTTCAACCAAACGCAGAAGTCAGGAGAGTTTGCAGCTAAACTCCAGCTGTGTGACTTTATGGAAGTTCTCCTACTTTCAAAGTAAAAGTCATCTAATTTATTGATCAAACTTGTTAGATTCAATATAAACTGTTCACCTGGAAATGCTTTAAAGTAAGTCTGTGTCTGTATTTATCAAATTTAATCCAATGGGAATTTTATTAGAGCTGCCAGGCGTTAAGTTTCTAATCGCATCGTACATGTTGTCGGAATAAATGCAGGGGAAAATGTTTGCAATTGTTAAAATGATCAAACATTATTTGTGAAAGGTTAAATTTTTGGTTGTTATTATGCATTTGACTGAATAAACATATTAGCAATTGTAACTTTTGTATCTGGCACCGATCGTAAAAGTGCAATACAGTTTTTACCTGTATCTGTGCGTGTATGAGTTAATTCATCTGTCTGTTAGCAAAATATCTCAAAAACCCACCGCAGATTTTCAATGAACTCTCAGAATTTTTCTCCAAATTTTTCAACGAACTCTCTATACCTCCAGAAAGAGGGCCACCTGCATCATGAAGGACCCCACTCACCCAGCACACACACTTTTTGCCCCGCTCCCCTCAGGAAAGAGGTTAAGGAGCATTAAGTGTAGAACCACTAGACTGAGGAACAGCTTCTACCCTGAAGCTGTTAGACTCGTGAATCTCTAACCAGGATAATCACTGTGATAAAATCACATCATGCTGCTGATCTGTTTCATGTTGCTGCTGATCTGTTTCATGTTGATGTGTTCATTCGTGCTCATCTGCTCACACAGACTCATGTTCGTGCTGCTGTTCGACGTATTGTTTTTAAGCTACTAGTGCTTAGCGTATTTTTAGCTAACATTTTTCTTAGTTCAGATCTTAGATCTTATTACTGTTTTTCTTTTACATTTTATTGTTGGATGTAACTGGGACCCTGTGTACACAGTTTCGTTC